TACACACACACACACACGCACGCACACTGTATGTGCGTGCGCGTGTATATATATATATATATGAAATAAATAAATATATTTTGGGTTCTCTCATTAATCACTGAAAGTAAAATTGGGAAATGTCTTGCTCGCTTTCTTTTTACAATATTAACTTTTCCTTGATTGAATAAATAATTAGCTTCTTGAGACCTAACTTGAAAATTTATATGAAATTTACCTGTGTAAAGAACCACTGTATATGTAAATTTCAGCTGTAATGTAAGTTTTTACTTCCCAATACAGTATCACTTTTTAGAAGACATATAGTATCTTTTCTGGGAAATATACTGTAATATATATGCTGATATCCAAATATAAGTATATAACTTTGTAGGATTAAGTCAAAGGATATATTCTTTGCTCTCCCCCTTCCCTCATGAAAAGAATACTTCTGCACTCTTCAGCCCTGGGTAGTAATTCAGTTGTAAAAAAACAGGGCAGCCTTTTAAAATAAGGCCTCTCCGTGATGCCTTTCTCCTTCATGAATATTAAAAGAAAAAAAAATTGACATAAATGAATTGTTCCTGGAGCATCTTCACTGAATCACTTCTTATCTTGAAAATTACCTTGCAAGAAACTGCTTGGCTAATTCTACTGCAGGATACTTTGGCATATTAGGGCAGAGGGCCTGGGTATCTGAGGAAAGGTTTCTCTCCAGTTGTTTCTGCCTGCCCCCAGTATGTTCCAGCAGAGTGGGTGCATTCCAGGTCTCCTCTATTAAACATTGCCACCCTGTGGGACCGAGGAAGCGGGCCTTCTCTGTCTCAGCCCCCACCCTCTGGAACAGCATCCCTCCAGAGATAACGATGGTGCCCCCTCTCCTAAGATTCCAGGAGGCTCTGAAAACCTGCCTTTGGTCCCAGGCCTGGGGTTGATGGATTATTGTTTCTCTAGGGCCCCTGTCTTGTTTGATTTTTGTTGTCCGTAAGATTATTTCAGTCTGGGCTGTCAGTTTGGTTTAATGTTTTTTGCTGTTTTTATGGTTGGATTTTTTTTCTAGTTTTGTACACTGGCCAGAGTCCATTGTTAAAATAGATGTGCCTTTTCTTCAGGTTCATATGGAAGTCTGAAAAAAGAGGAGCAGATTAATTAACAATGGAGAGGTGTTTTGCTCCTGCAAGCACTTCTTCCAAGTAATTTCAAAGAATGCATAGCTCAACTAATAATTGTAAAATGGGGGTATACCCAAGATGTCAGATGAGTACAGTGAATTAGCAAAGAGGCAGGATAGGAACTGGCAATGGGGACAGATTTCATGCAAGTATAATATTCTGCTGACTAAGAGATGGGTAGACAGCACTTCAACTCATCAACGTGAAAGGGCCAAAATGAAGCAATGCAGCTTTGAAAACTTGCTTCATTCAAAAGCATCCCTTTGAAGTTTTGTACTTTGTGTGTCATATGCCCACATATATAACATGATTTGGGACATTTTTTTGTCTCTTATGTCAATAGATGCCTGTAAAATATACTAAATTTTTCAACATATCCTTGTCCAGAATTTGGATAGATACATAGCTTAGGACCCAATCAGTTAATCCAAGAGGACTTTTCCTTTTATTGTAGGTAGTGTTCATTACACACTGCAAGTGATGTGACATTACCCATGTGCCTCTGCCTCTTAGCATGGACTAATAGGGATGGAAAAATGCATAGCGAGATAGATGGTTCATCATTCGCGCTATATTAGTCATTAACCACGTTGGGTAGACATTTGGAGAGTTGTCATCCAACCCATCCCAGACTGGAGAATGCATTAGAATATGATTAGTAACAAAGAGCAAAATAAAGAAGACTCTCAGCTACTATAGCAGATCATATAAAGTCTCCGCCCTGTAGTTGAAGATCTATGTATCTTGATGCAATATAATGGACAAGTGGTCTGTTATACACGTGGGTCCCAATTTCTTAAAAGCTTTAGACCAATCTAGTTTGGTATGTGTGACAGTCATGAAGTCTACGTGTATCTGGAGGGACACTTCTTTCTCTCCAAATGCATTGTGTAAAGTATGGGCAATAGGTAATCATCTACCCAACATCCAGAAGAAAGGTATACATACTGTAGGTCAGAGTGGTGCAAATGTTTTCAGGTCAGAAATTGCATGAGATTATACTTTTTTAAGATTGAGATACAGCATCTTATTTTATTCTTTGTTCTTACTCTGTTTCAGGAGGGGTTCAAAATGGGACTGACTCTGGAAGGCACAGTGTTTTGCCTTGATCCTCTAGACAGCAAGTGCTGATGCCAGGAATAGACATTTAAAAATATATTATCTTTCTTTATTTCTTTTTACAAAAATTTAAAATGTATTACAAATATTATTGATGTGCCAAAAATGTTTTTCAACATGTTATCTTCTGTGAGATTTGCTTCTTTAAAACTCCAGATAAGTTGCAGTATTATTGCTGTAAAATGAAATTTTACTCATGTATAGAAAGCTAAAATGAAATCACACTGCTGTTTGTTTTTTGTCTTCCATATTTTGCAAGTCATTCTTGATATCTTTTGGCAACTCACTTGCACAGCATGGCAATCCATCATAACCTGTGAGAAGTCTTTTTAAACTTTCTTGCATACCACTTTCTGATAGCAAACAAGCCTTTGGAACTATGATTGAAAAGAACAATGTTTAAAATAAAATCCCCAAAACTGGTTTCTTAATTCTAGACAAATAAGTGAATATTTACACACTTCTGTAAACAATTACAGTGAGACTGAAAACCATAGTGTATTCTGCACTTATATAGCATAGCATCCTAATAAATTGTTGTTAAGGGCCACAAATCAAGCTAGGTTTCTAATGAACTGCAGTGCCCACCAATTCATGTTAATTTTGGGAGTGCACAGCATTTCTGACTTAGAAGTATATGTTAAAGATGACTTCTATGCTCTTCAGATGCACTGTATTTAAGATGCATCTACTAAATGAAATGACTATTATCTAGATTAATATTTTTACAACTGCAATATTTAATCAGTAACTATACCAAATATTAATATGCCAATTATTTTCTATTATTTTGTAATTTAAAAAGCAGTCCCTAAAGACTTATAAAACTTTGATTAGATTTTTTTCACATTCCAGAGGGTACTTGGAAATTTATACACAAGAACTGCAGTTTTCAGTAGCAATCATATAATAAATAACTAGCTATTTTGAACACACACCGCCATGTGTACATAGAAACATGCCCAATGCTCCACAGTATTTTTGGAATTGGGGTCCAATATGGTATTTCTCAACATAGGTATTTGAAAATCCTATTGAGTTCAGTGAATGTGCATGCTTAGGGCACTGCTTGTGGTGCATGTTAAACTGCTGCGTAAATGGCAACATCTCACTCTAACTGCAAAGATTCAGTTACAATAATGATGACTTTCAGAAACTAAAACCATATATATTTTTGAAATCACACCTTCTAAACATTTAGACAGTCTCTTTTTAGGATGTTAACTGCCTGGAAATTGATCTGAGGCCATTGATGTAATTGTATTGTTTGAAATTTGGAGCTTTGGCCCTTTCAGCAGTCTGGGTGATCCCCTGATAATTCTGTGCAAACTACTTGGAAAATAAGGGGGACCATTGGATAAACAATCCCAATTTGCTTCCCAGTGCAAAACTTACAAATGAATAACATGACAAGAAAGAGAGATAAAAGAATTTAAGGTAAGTTCTTGATGAAGACAGATCATTTGTAACTTCTGCAAGGAAGCGAATTACTGAGCAAATCTACTACTTTGTCTCTGCATAGCAATAAATGAAATTTTGGTTGTGCATTTCTTTGTATTCATAAATTAAGTTGCTTGTTCATTTTTTTCCATTTTTACCCAAAGCTTGTTCAATATGTACAAAAAAATTACCTTTCTGGGAAAGTTTTTCTCTCCTGTAAGGAGCCTTTCACTGTAAAGAAGAAGGGGGGAAATGTTTATTTTTTTTTTAATAAAAGAAAATTTCTTTTATTAAATAAAGGAAGAGAAAGAGAAGTGCTCAGGAGAAATGGGAAAGAAAGATAAGAAATTATTTTGCTCACTTTATTTTTAAGGGGGAAAAACCCTAATGTTCTGGTACTTGGTTTGCAAAATAATAGTTTTTGATGTTATATTGTAACGTTTACATACATATACACAACACAAAAAGAAAACATTTATGCAATGGTATTACCTTTTGAAGCTTTGTTCCAGTCTCACAAGATACTTAAGCAGATGCCTAGACAACCTGGAATTCTTTACATGCTTAAAATCAGACAGCTGCTTAGCTGTATAGCCTTACTGCGTCTTTACTATACTCTGATTTGTGTTAAGTCTTCCTTTATTATTTGGTTCTTCTTTAGTATTTGCATGTATATCTATATCTATGCTCTGAATCCAGAGAGAATAGTATACGTTTGTAGAGTGCTTCGGCACACATGTGGAAAAGAATATGATTCCCCACTTCCCTTCTGGCTACAGATCCTCCCATCACATTGAATGCCATTCCAGAAGGCTCCATTGTTTCATGAGCATCTTGGGATGGTGCGTGGGGTGAGAGGACAGAGACCAGTGGGGAATAAGAATAAATAGCTGCCACTGCAAACTACCATAAATGACTCTCTGGATCTTGGCCTGTGTGCCTGTCAATATAGATATATATGAGATCAATGGTGCATAGAATAGGCTCTGTATCATAGAGAGACGTCTATAATTTTGTTCACCAAATAGTATTTTGCAGTTTGTACAACGAGGATGTTTAGTAGCCATATTAATGGCTTTTTTAAACAAATAGAATTTGTATTTTTATCATAAAGAAAGCTTTACGTAATAAGCATATATTTAGGGGCCATTTACAATGGATGGTAGGAAAACATTCAGAAAATATTTGCACATTTTAAGAAATCTTGTTTTACTGATTTTTATGGAAATTGGTTTGCAGATTGCTAAATGTAATCTAACTGATCGAAATCAGTCCACGAACATCTAAATTAATACAGCAAGAAATTACGTTTTTAATGAAAACAGTTTAGTGCTTTGGTTGAAATTTGTATTTCTATATAATCCCAACTGTCTGTTTTATTTTGCTTCCAATAAATGGTTTAACTAAACTTGCCTCATTGAATGGAATCTTTATTTAATATAAATACTCAGC